ACCTATCTGCCACTACTCCTAATTGTAGGCATACGGGGAACCCCGTAGCAGCCGTCAGCCTTTTCCTTTTTCAGATCTTTTTCCTTTTTTTCATTCCTTTTTTTCTTCCTTTTTTCTTCCTTTTTTTCTTCCTTTTTTCTTCCTTTTTTTCTTCCTTTTTTCTTCCTTTTTTTCTTTTTCTTTTGTTTCGATACGGAGACTTGGGCCGCCTTCGGCTGCAAAACAAATACGAAGCACCCCTGGCTGCGACGGACAGCTTGATCAGCGTGCATAAATGTTGGGGAATACCTAACTCTCCAGCTGATCCCCACTCGGTGACAAGGCCGGGAGTATGAAATAACACAAGGCTCTGCTCGGACCGGTGGATCTTGAACCCGCCGGACCAGACGCCTAATAGCCTGTACACTCTCCTTTTTTTCCTTCTTTCCTTTTTCTTTTCTTTTCTTTTCTTTTCTTTTCTTTTCTTTTCTTTCTTTTGAAAATTTTCATTCCTTCCTTGTCGGACCATCCGATTAGTTCGATCAAACGAGCGGCGGAGGGTGATGGCGTCCATCAGAAGCATGTTATTCTCGACGAAACACTAACCTCGGCGACTATATCAAGCATAGGCTACAACGGCACTATTCATCGGACCTCCACACAACGATTTGAGTTACGGCAAGTGTTGTGCGTTCCAGTATTCTGAGAGAAGGAACTGGCGGGACTTCATGAAGCATGGATCAGCAGGACGTGGAAGAACGGGTAATGCTCCCGGCGTAACAATCCTCCGGGCTTGATTTTTTTCCAGTCCTGAGCCCAGCTACTGCCCTGCCGAGCATTATGCAGACTGCCGCATGCTGCCCTGCCAAACTTCCTTCGCCATGTGCCTTATCATCATCACAATCGATAGGCGTCATTCTAGCTCCCCTCCTCCTCCTAGCTCTGCTGCCCAACATCTCCATCGCTGGCCATTTTATTTTTTTATTTTTTATTTTTTTAGACATGCTCCAATCTATTCGTGGGGAGCAGCACGTGCTGGGAATCGGGCCCAGCGTCCCATATGAAGACATATCTCCATCGCTGGCCTACTCTACGCCGCCCGCATATCTGAGAGGGTATTCATTCCTCTACACCTCTTCGACGCACTTCGCGATCCTGCTGGCTGCACCGTCGGTTACCTGACCACAGTCTTCACAAGCTGCTGCGATTGATCTGCGCATTTGGCACTATTTGCGGACTTGCACCCGGGGAGGAGGCGTGGAAACAAGGAGTTCAGTGATAGAGTCCAGGACGGCAATGGAGGCCTCCTTGTGTACCCTTATAGCTCTCATCTCGTTTCCGTCTTTCCTTTCTTTTCTCTACTTCGTTTATTCCCTTCCCTGCCTTCATACACAAACCCCCTTTGAACCCCCCCTCCCCCCCGCCTCCTCACCATCTCCCTCTGCCCCCGACACTCTCTTCCTATCCTCCCCAAATCTTTCCCTTTGTAGGCCCCCGTCTTCTTCCCCCTCACCTTCCAAATATCATGGAAGATCCCCCCCCCCTTCTGATGACGCCCCACATGGCATGGGGCAGAAAAGCGCTTTAGGGAACGCCACTCCCTTCCTACAATTCGGCGAGACGATCCATGCGGACACAGGAGCACACTGGATCTGGAGGATAGAGCTGCAATTGGATTTACTGTTGTTGTTCTTCTCCTCCCCATCCCTTTTCCCTCTCTTCTCTCCCTGTTCCCCTTCCATTCCTCCCTCCGTCTTTGTGAATTACTCTTGTTCTCGTTGGAGCGGACGATTGGCTGGTTTAAATGACAATATTCTGACTGGTTCTTTTTGAAGTGAAGGAGGTTCACTGTTTGTTGAAAATGATCTTGCATGGACGACAGAATTTCTGGGTGCGGTCCTTAATTCTTTTTATCTCTAATCCATCCAAGAGGCATGTGCTTTTATTGCTTCCCTCAACCCCTTTACGGGGGTTCAAAGGATTTAATAAGATGCTTCTGCTTCTCTCTCTCTCTCTCTCTCTCTCTCTCTCTCTCTCTCTCT